GAGAACAAATTGGACTAAAAAATGCACTCCCGGACAGAACCCATTCGTATGCAGGGGACTTACTGTACTCATGTAAGTGTGGCACTTTATGTTTTGAGGGGAAAGAAGGAAAAGAAAATGCGCTGACTTCACTTACCAACCTCCTAGAAAATTCGTCTAAGAGAATTCTTCCCCTCAGCACAGCCTGTAGCACATGCAGAAAAAGCCTGAGTTCCTGAAAAAATGTTTACTTTATACTTTCCACTTGTCCCTCACTTCCTCTCTCTCTCTCTTGCTCTTTGTTTCTTTGTAAGCCCCATGGATGATCGTCCTCTTTTCATCAATGAATGGGACCTAATCCTTAGCATTTATTTATTTATTCTGTGCTTTCCAGTACTCAAGGAACACTTGCAAACTACTTCTTCTATCTCAAAAATCACTTGAAAATATATTTAAAGTGCATAGCTAAATATGCAAATTATGTTAATCTTTTGGTAGCCAGCCACATTAACCAATTAGAAAGTTGAATTAATTGGACAGTTAAAAAGGGAATTACATGGAATGGTAGTTTGATCTAGTAATTTGAAGGTCCATTCTGAGTACCTCACTCTGGGAATTCTTCCAATGGTATTTGGTTTTTCTTAGACGTAAGACACTGTGCTTTGCATGATTTCATTTAGCTTGCTGCATAATTAAATTAGTAAGCATTGCATCCTGTGTCCTCAGTTTAGAAGTTAGTGCAGCTCATGAAGAGATTGTAAGTTCGAGTGTCATTTATGTATACGCATTTGCCAGTGTTAAGTCATGTAAAAAAAAAATATGTTAGATGGGACACCACTGAAACCCTAATATCTAAGTTCTTGGTATACTCAGTTGTAGATTGTTAGGTTTGGGCTATAATTTGAATCTGTTCGATAAATGTCCTTCAGTAGGCGGTTGTTTTGAGAATATAGTGCCATGTATCTGAGAACAGTAAGCACCTGATTGTGTGACATAAATGAGGTGATTGCCCAAATCTCTCAATGTATGTTTGAATTTTTTTTTAAAAAAGTGAACTAATTGGCTGCCATTATTCAGAGTTAGCAAATAGGAAATAATTAAAACATGGGGTTGACACTGGTAACCAAGGAGGAAATCAAATGAATTCCAAGTTGTTACAGTTTGTCACTGGCTTAATTTCATGACACACACTTCCTTCTTCATTCACAGTACATGTGCTTATTTTAAAAAATTAAAAGTGGATCAGAGTTAACTCACAAATTCATATTTAGGAAAAGCTTATGACAAATTATGCTTAGTTTAGAATTTATGCAAAATCATTTAATATCATTGGACAGAACTGAGATTGACACAAAATAAAAAACAAGTATAAAAATAACTTCTGTAGAAAGTTGTTTTTGGAACCTGTAATAATAGTACAATATCTATTTTGCATAACTATGTAAAAACTAATTTCTTTCAAATGCTTGCATTCTGGTCTATACCTTTTGTGGAAAAGTTTATCTTCTCATTTTATTTGGAAAAATTGTCCTTGGCCATTTTTCCTTAAAATTGACTTCAAAATCAATCCATTAAGTTGGTTTTTAGAAATTAATTGGTTTAATCTATTTGAAGTCAGTGCTTTAGTTGTTTCACAGTTTTTGCCTTTGTCAGGATTATATTACTAAACCCCAGGCAAGACCACCTTTATGAAAGGAAAAGGAGAAATATGCTTTTAAAATGAAAATTGATTTACTTATCCTTTTTTTTTTTTGCAAAGTATATTGTTCTTCTTGGGTAGCATGCATGGATTGCCATCCTGTTGACTGCTAATTATTGACTAAATGAAATGCTGAGTCTTTTCATTTTATTGAAATTAAAGTGCTTAGGACGCCTAAAACTGGTCAGAATTCAAGGACATAGCCAAATTAAGAACTTCTAATTTTTACTTTCTTTCTTTCCTTTTTTTTTTTTTTTTGAGTTGGAATCTCACTCCATCACCCAGGCTGGAGTGCAGTGGCATGCTCCCGGCCACCGCAGCCTCGACCTGCTGGGCTCTGGCAATCCTTCCGCCTCAGCCTTCCAAGTAGCTGGAACTACAGGCGTGTGCTATCACACCCAGCTAATTTTTTGATTTATTGTAGAGACAGGTCTCGCCAAGTTGCCCAGGCGGGTCTCGAGCCCGCGGGCTCAGACAATCCACTCACTTCAGCCTCCCAAAGCACAGGGTTACAGGCTGAGCCACTGAGCCCGGCTTCATTTTTACTTTCATTGACAAATTTACTTTGTGCAAATGCAGCCTGAAAAATATTTGCTTATGATTAAAACCTTGTGTTTCTATCAAGAGACATTCTTGACATAGCACCAGTACATTTTAATGAATTAATCATCTTATAGTGCTGTCAGGCATAATGCATTATGAATAGACTTTGACTAAGGTGATGAGAGTTACTATAATCAGAAGCATGACAAGCAGCTTTGTTGTGGCTGCTGGAATTTTCTTTGCTAACCTAGTCATGTCGCTATACGCAGAGAGGTTAACATCGAAGAGAAAATGGTAAAAATGGGCTAACATATAATGATTTACACATCACTAGTTGTGTCATCTGAATGGGTTAGGTGGCCACTCTAAGATTGCTTTCCTCACCTGAGTAAAAGAGGGCATGAGGAACAAGGACCAAGGAGGGTTCTGTGAGGATCTAAATGAGATCATTAACATAGGACTCGTGGTAGTACCTGGCTCTCAGTCATAATTAACAGTAAATGTGTGAGGGAGGGACAGTATTAAAGGAAGAAAGTATTGTTTTTGATTGCCTGTGTTTGCACACAAAAATTAGCTAGAGCACATGAACAGCTGGGTTCAGAGTCCCGCACCACTTGCATCATTCTCTCTAAGTATTTGAGGAAACCAAGTGTGTTGATAATTGAATGTATGTCGAGGTATGTCATAGTATGCATTCTAATTTTCATTCTAATTTGCTGCATGTTAGAGTTAATGATCTCTTCTGGGCTAAGAAAGTATTTAGTATGTCACCCATTTAACAACATATGGAGGTTCTTCCTATAATAAAGTTATTATAGGTTTTTTTAGTGGCAGCTTTTTGGGCATAGTGTGGGCCTATAAATAGTTCTTTTTGACACTGATTCCTTGATTAGGAAACAAACCCAATTCCAACATTTTCATAATTTATTTTGTTAAGTGTTTTCTAGGAATATTTGGAAGCCCTGTGTGCAAGCTACTTCTGTCAGGTTCACTGAACGTAGTTACCTCCTATAATAGCAGGACTCCAGGTGGTTTCTTCCTGAGACACCTGGATGCCAGGTGTTGCCACCTCTGACTCTTCAACTCAGCAGCCTGAGTCTTCAGGCTCTGTCTGCAGCCCATCCACATTGGAGTCTGTAAGAAAGCTGACCTATCCCTTCATGTGAGAAGAATTAGCACAATTACAAACATTAACATCTTTGGCAACATAGGCATTAGAACAGCTGAGCAATGTTGAAATTGGAAATCTAGATCATGAGAGAATGAAAAATATTATGTTGTATTTTCTGTGCCATATTCCATCTGGAATGTTAAGATCTTTTCATTTTCCAGGACCGGTTTTTGTTTTCTTGTATGTGTATGTTTTATGCTGTAACTCAAAAATAAGATTTTGTTGACTGCCAGTTTACTATTACCAGTTGAAACAAACTTTTCTCTTTTCATCAATGATGTTTAAGAAAATAAAAAATAAGCAAAGAGAGAGAGAAACATTGGAGTTAGCTAGTTGATTTCTCAGATGCTGTAAGGTAGTGTACATTCCATGTAGTGAACAAGAGTAACCATAAGGGTACAAAAAGAAAATATTAGAGTTTCTTTTAAATTTTATTTAATAATGTATCTTTTGACCTTTATCTGTTTAATGATGCACATAATTAACATAGCTATATATTTAATCAGTCATATATTTGAAGAGAGTGACCACTGAAAAGCAAATTTTGTAAGAGTGCATAATTTTAAAAGTTCAAAGACCACTCCATTGGACACTAAAGGGAAGAGACTCTATTCTTTGAGACTATTATTAGGGGAAAAAGTCTTGAAAGAAAAAAAATTTATTATAGTATATATTTTGCATTTTTAAAATTAAATTTCTTCATATTAAAGCTTCATATTCTTTTATGTTGTTTGAGGTAGTTAACTTTTTGTGACTTTATTTCATATTATCCACACTAGTTAATACTTAGTAGAGTAACTACAGAAGAACAGAGAGTGCGTGAGTGTTGTGCTGTTTGCTGATGTGCTCTTCGTTGCTAGGAAATCTTTTTTTTTTTTTTTTGAGTATGCGTCTCACTCTGTCACCCAGGCTGGAGTGCAGTGGCATGCTCACGGCCACTGCAGCCTCAACCTGCTGGACTCGGGTGATCTTTCTGCCTCAGCCTTCCAAATAGCTGGTACTACAAGCACTCACTACCATGCCCAGCTAATTTTTTAAAAAAATTTATTGTAGAGACAAGGTCTCACCAAGTTGCTTAGGCTGTTCTCGAAACCCTGGACTCAGACAATCCTCTGCCCTCTGCCTCCCACAGTGCTGGGATTACAGGTGTGAGCCACCCTGCCTAGACTTTTTTTTTTCTTTTGAGGTGACTTGCACTTACCAGGAATATTTTGTTAACTGTTTCTTATTTTCATCATGTTAACGACTGCAGTTAACTTTGTTGTGATAAATGAGGATGTAATCATTTTAAGTGTTTGTGTGTAATATATGAATTCTTGAACTGGGGTTGTAAATCAGGTGGTAAAAAGCTTCCTCTTGAAAGTGTGATGTGAATTATTTTGGCCTCAGGCTAATCTTGAAAGAAACCTCACTTGATGGTCTCTGTTGATGATGAAATAATTGACCTTGGCTACGTCCAAGGTAAGAGTGTGTTTTACTAACCCTTCTCCATCACGAGACTGGCTCTAAGATATCAAAAAAAATCTGTGATAGGTAGAACAGTTTTAGTAAAATTCACCTGTTCTATTCACAGAAATTATATTAATTCAAAATTTATTTTCCTTTTAGTTCACAAGAAGATGAAAGACCTATGTCACCTTTCTATTTGAGGTATTTGATTTTTGTTGGTCTACTACAGGGAATGGAGGAGGGTTAAGGCTTCTTTGGGTTTACTTGCCCATTTTAATGCTTTTTAATAGAACATTCTATACTGTGGCCAGATTAAGCTCTTTGGAGCACCTCCATCATATTATTCGTGCTGTATTGCCCCCTTCTTTTGTTTAAGAAATCTTTTTTAATTTTTAATATAGTTGGAGCAATTAAAATATTTAATTTTAAATTCAGAAATGTCAAAGTGGCTGTTTTAATTTTTAAAACTGTCTGTTAGGCAGTAACCTAATTTTACAATTTCTATACATATTCACAGGTGGGGGGGAGGGGCTAAGCACAGATCCACTCAAGAAAGAATCCTTGGATCCTGTTAGATCGCTTTATACACAGTCCTGGAGTAGGAAACTAAATATTCAGCAAATTCATGAAGTTCAGGATTATTTTCTAAAACTTATAAAGCCAGAATAACAACTATTAAAGTAGGTAAGTTAATAGCTTTCAAAGTAGATGCTAGACAAGATCACTTTTCTCCAATGACTGAAAGTTTGCTGCTGTGATGTGATTTGTCAGTGAACCATCTTCTGAGATAGAACCTAGAACCAAGTCTTCCTTATTGCATTTCTTTCCTTACTACCTACCCAGGTCAAATACTTAGAGAATATGTTTGAAAATTATATAACCATGTAAACTTAAAATGCTGACTTCTTAAAAATCTTTCCTCAATTTTGAAGTCTACCACTTTTTAAAAGAAATGTCAGGATATGTGATACTTGATTTGTTTATCTATTTGTCTTTGGATTGGATTTGTTATCCTAGTCCCACAGTTGAATTTAGACTACAATTCAACTACCAATAGTTCAGCAATGTGTCATAGGATCTCGGGCTTAGCCAAGTAACTGCTTTTCAATAGTGTTCTGCCATTTAGCAACTTGGAGCGTATTGCATAATCAGTTTGTGGCAAGAGAGGGAACATTTGAGGTTTCAGTTTGAGACAACATGGTGGTCCGTTTTTTTCATCCTGGTTTCCTGCCAACCAAATTCAGCATACTCTGGTTCATAGGCTATCTCAACTATGCAATTACTGTGAACACAAGGATGTTGTTGCTGAGTACACAGTGACTCTGGTATTCATTATGTAAATATACACCATAATATATAACATGATTATTATGTATTAATGGAAATTAGGTTTTACACAGTGTGGGAGACTTTAACACTAGGTCATGCCTAGTGTTACTAGGTCTCTGAGTAACATCAGTCTTTGTTTTACAGTCTTGAATTTTATTATGTTTTGACTGCTGTTTTAAGAAGCAGATGGGGAAATGAGTTTATAAGACTTAAGTCTTCAAAGACAATAGTGTCTTATAATGTGAAATTTTTTGTAATTGCTTGGACTAGAATATTTGACTAATAATGTAGTCTTTAAAAAGAAATTCTGTACTTGCAGAATGAAAGTAAAAGAAAATAGAATATGAATTGCCTGAGCCCATGGGTTCGTGACCTGCCTGGGCAACTTGGCGAGACCTCATCTCCACAATAAATCAAAAAACTAGCCGGGCGTGGTAGCACGCGCCTGTAGTTCCAGCTATTTGGAAGGCTGAGGCAGAAGGATTGCCGGAGCCCAGCAGGTCGAGGCTGCGGTGGCCGGGAGCAGCCACTGCACTCCAGTCTGGGCGACGGAATGAAACTCCAACTCAAAAAAAAAAAAGAGAAAATAGAATAAAAAACAGTAATTAATATGTTTACTGAACTCTTGATGGAAGCTATTTGACCTTTTCAATGTTGAGTCATAAAAAGTGAAATATAAAATTAGGGAATAAAAGAATGAATATGATACTAACCCACATTTACAGAAAAAAAAGAAAAAATTACCAGCAAGCATTCTTTTATATGATGAAAATTTAAACTAAGCAGAGTTATTTCACAGGTGCAAAAAATAGTAATTACTTAGCCTGACATTAAAAATTGAAAAGTAGTTTTCTTCTGAATGGCATTATTAGAAATTATGTAAGCATTAAGTTAGTACAAGTTAATTTAACTTTTTTATTATTCGCTGGAAATGAAGCAGGGAGAATCTACTGGTAAAACATGAACTTTTTTTTTTCAATTATTTGCATGACTGGTTTGAGATAGACTTTTCTTGGTTCATTCTAGCACATAATATTTAAGTAGAAGAAATAAAACACTGTTGTTAATTATAATGAAGTTCTCTGTGATTTTTTTAGACTAAAAACATGATATGCCCATTGATAATTTATAAATGAGGACACATTTTTTGCACTATTTCTAGTAATAGCAAATGCATGCTTAATGTTTTCAATGTACTTAAATACATCTCAGTGGCTTTCTTATCCATTCCTTTCCCCTGCTCCACCTTGTTACTTAGGATTATTTTGCTGCAATACTCAAAAAAGAACTGTGGTAAGGCTCATGAATTTCATAATGACTTATTAACGTGACGAAAAATACATTGGCTCTTTTAAATCCAAAATAATATTAAGCGCATCTTTGAAACGCAAAAAGTGATTGGTAGCTTCCAAATGCTATCTGCTCTGACTAGGAACACTGAATACTGAATGTTGTGTATTTTATTTTGATAGTGTTGATTGGTCAGATTTTTCTCAGAGAGGAAAGGCCCAGTCTAGAAAGGAGACACATCTGCTGAGCTGGATACTCACTGGATGTAGATACAGCTACAAGTTGCCAGGAAGGGAATGGGGATGGGAAAGTTGGTTAGTAGTGGGGTTGGTTAGTTAGTTAGTTAGTTAGTTAGTTAGTTAGTTAGTTAGTGGTGGTTAGTTCTGAAAGGACCAGCATGAGATGGAACAGCAAAACTCAGTGGCTGCAAGTGGGCAGTCTTCAGAGAAAGCTGATCAGAAAAGACAGAAGATAAGAGCACAGCAGGCCTTCAGTCTCAAAGGAAGGAGAGTAGAGGTTCCAGAAGGCACTCAGGTTTAGGAGATCACCCAGGCTCCAGCTATCAGAGTGGAAATAAGGTAGATTATTTATAACAAGACATAGTCTGCTTCTGGGATGGAGGAGAGAGGGAAGTATGAAGAGGCTGCATTGCCCATTAGTGGAGGTCCCAGGCCCTTGCTGTGTCTAGGGGAAGGGGGTGTGATGCAGGAACAGGGAATCCGAGAGTCTCCATCATGACCTTGTTCTACTTATTACTTACAGAATTTCAGTTTCTGTAATTTTTTTAAGAGTTGGAGTCTCACTCTTTTGCCCAAGCTGTAGTGCAGTGGCATGATCATGGCTCACCACAACCTTGAATTTCTGGGCTCAGGTGATCCTTCCACTTCAGCCTCCCAAGTAGCTGGAATTACAGTGTGTGCCACCACACCCAGCTAATTTTTTTATTTATCTTAGAGACAAGTCTCTCTATGTTGCCTAGGCTGGTCTCAAAGCCCTGGGCCCAAGCAATTCTCCCGCCTCAGCCTCCCAAAGTGCTGGGATTACAGGCATGAGCCACCGTGCCTGACATTTTCTGTAATCTGATGTTCTCTTTTAACAGGGGTGGCTCACCCCCATGTTAGTCTACTATATATTTCAATTACCTTCAGTCCTTCTGTGGCTAAGGCTGTTATGAATAGATATACATTCATGTGTATTTTATTTTAAATCAAATATCTTCTGTAATAACAACTCTGCCTTCTCCAATTTCAGTACCTCTCCAGCCTAACCTAACTCACTACAGAGCCATTTGTCCATATTTGCAAAGGAGGGAAATGGTAGCTACAAAGTTACACCTGCCACCATTGCATGTAGCCAGTCTTTGCAGTTACAATAGCTGAAACAGTAGGTGGCATTGTTCCCCAGATGCTTACTCAGGATTGCCTGCACAGCTGAAAGGATTAGGGAGGTGAGAAGGAAAACCCTTAGTGAGATTGCAGCAAAATAAACACGAACCTACAAACGTAAGGTGAAGAGCTTTCTTGACAAGGGTGCCCAGACCTCTCATATTCTAGGTCTCTCATGTTCTAGGCTGGAATCCCAAAAAAAGAAGCCTCTCCCTCGGTTGTTCAGCATCTTGCTGTCGGTGCTCTTCTGGGCCGTATGCAGCCTGTTACTGTCCATTCTCTTGCCTGGCATCCAGTCAGATCTGTTTAGAATCTGTTGCTAGTTCTCCTTCTATCTGAGTCTTCAGTGTACGCGAGTTCAAGTTTTGATTTCTGTGGTTGGTTTCTACCGGGTCCCACCCCGGCTACACAACCGCCATGCTCTCCTATGACCGGAGTCAGACCTCATCCTCAACCCATTCCATCAGACTTCTACCCTGTTTGTTTGTTTGTGACCGTGTCTCACTATGTTACCCAGCCGTATCCGGTCCAAACTTCTACCCTTGAATTCCTTCTTTACAAATTACTGGATTATACATCTAGCTTGTGCCCCTTTATCAGAAGTCTAAATATGTGCTTCGGGGCTACATACATGTCATCAATTTTGTTCTGTGGGCTCTCAGCAGTTCCCCCAGCTTCTGAATGTTTGTTGCTTGCCTAGCCTGCCTTCGAGTCAGTGCACTGATCTTCCTCTCCTTTTCTTTTCTCATTTAGTGCTCCCTCAAAATCCTGGAACTGACCATGTTTTAATATTCAGAGAGCAAAAGTTTGAATATTCACAGTACAAATTGAAGCTAAATTACTAATGTAGGAGGTTTGGAAATGCTTAGAATCAGCTGTAGTGTTTCCTCTGTTTTCTAATTTTCTTGAAGAAACATCAAATATATTTTTTCTAAGTCAGCAGTTTGGCAAACAAACGCATTCTGTAGGATTTGGTTAATTTTTTTTTTAATCACTGGAGCCTAGGGACCCTCAATTTTATGAACATCTCTTAACTTAAATTTATGTTGAAGAAAAAAATTAGCTTTGAATAAATTCAAATAAAATATTACCTGATATTATATGGGATCTGGAAATTATACCATACCACTCACTGCTATTCTGATATGTAGGAATTTCCTTCTAAAGCATTTTTAGATAATTTTAGAAGGGGAAATA